GGGGGGGGAAGATTTTAAATTTTTACCGCCCTTTAGCAAATCGAGTACCGTATCGTTTTTTTAAATCCCAATTTGTGATTTTGTGAAATGGTTGATTAACCTTCGCGTAAGCACCTTCACCCAACTTCTTCAAAAATCTGTAACCACGTGTTAATAGAACAGCTTCTTCGGACGAAGTCTGGTCCAAACTCGTCATGAGATTTCGTGATCTACAAGTGACATCCTATTGGTCCTATCGTCATAATTTGAAATTTAAAATTATCACAAATCAGTTATCGTTGTTCAAAGTTGCTTTTACCGCTGTTTTATCAAAAAAAAAAAAAAAGATTAAGAATACCAAGTTTTCTTTTCATCGTGAAGGTTAGGTAATCTATATACTATAAATACTTTATATAGAGACTCTTATAAATTTTATGATAATTTACGAGATTGTTTCTCGACTTACTTTTATTTAGCAATTAAGATTGCAATGGAGTAGAGTTGCAATGAAAATATCAGAATCATTTAATCATCTTGCCTAATTAAACATGCCCGATACAAAGTATGACAAAATCTGCGATCTATTTTACGCACGGTGTTGCTCCAAACATTTAAAAAAGAATTATTTAAGAAACCAGAGAGGAACAAAGGAAGATGAAAATGAGAACGAGTTGAATATATTAAAGAATATACTAAAAATAATTTAAACGAAAATATTGATAGCTTCTGTTTCACTGAAATGTATATTCAAATATCGGATATGACATCTAATCGATATATCGAATTGTTCAATCTGATAAGACTTGATATTCGTATTGATTATTCTTCCGCAATTGTAGTTGGAAGAAAGAGGTGATGTAAGTATGCTCTGTGTAATTTCCTCGATATCGTTGTTCAATCCTTCTCGAAATATATTTTTGCTACATTTTTGCGAATGGTAAAAGTCCCACGACTTTTATAAATGGTGTAAAAGTTAAATTTTGTGTCAAAAAATTTAAAATACACTTTAGTCGTTAGACACGTGTTTCTAGGTTAAATTACCTAACCTAATCTATCGTGAAGATAACACAGTGTTTAATTCTTTAGATTTTCATTCATAATATATTAATGAAATTCATTTTTTCTTAAACAGATGGCGGACACTGCTCCAGCCGCGCGTGGAGGCTTTCGTGGAGGATTTGGTTCTCGCGGGGGAGGTGACCGCGGAGGTCTAAGAGGCAGAGGCCGCGGAGGTAGAGGACGAGGTCGCGGTCGTGGACGTGGTAAAGACGATAACAAAGAATGGATCCCAGTGACCAAGCTCGGACGTCTCGTCAGAGATGGAAAGATCGACTCCTTGGAACAGATCTACCTTTTCTCTTTACCTATCAAGGAGTATGAGATCATTGACAAGTTCCTCGGCGTTGATTTGAAAGACGAAGTGCTGAAGATCATGCCGGTGCAGAAACAGACACGAGCCGGACAACGTACTCGTTTTAAGGTTAGGTTTATCTGAAACTCAATATTACATTCATTCACAGCATGATTAAGTAGTCGAAAAGGTATTATTTTGGTAATTTTAATCTTGTTTTACAGGCTTTTGTAGCTATCGGTGACTACAAGGGCCACATTGGCCTGGGTGTGAAATGTTCCAAGGAAGTGGCCACTGCCATCCGTGGTGCTATCATTTTGGCCAAGCTTTCAGTTGTGCCTGTACGTCGTGGGTACTGGGGAAACAAGATTGGTGATCCTCACACTGTCCCCTGTAAAGTCACTGGCAAATGTGGATCAGTTCAGGTGCGTCTGATACCAGCACCAAGAGGCACGGGCATCGTGTCAGCGCCAGTGCCCAAGAAACTATTACAAATGGCTGGTATAGAGGACTGTTACACCTCGGCCAGAGGATCCACGTGTACTCTTGGCAATTTCGCGAAGGCTACCTACGCAGCTATTGCCAAGACCTACGCGTATTTGACTCCGGATCTGTGGCATGAACAGGCACTAAGAAGAGCTCCTTATCAAGAATTTGCGGACTATCTGTCGAAGAACCACAAAATCGTAGGCGGGCAGAAAGCTGCTGAAGTTGTCTAGAGAAATAAACGTCCAAGCAAAACGAAGCATTTGATTGTAACCATTTTCTTTTTTTTCTTTTTTAATCTCACTCTATCTCATACTAAACTATGAATGTTTGTGCGAAGTTTAAAATTTAATTTAAATGCCAATATGGCATGCCAAAAGAAAGCGTTCAAAGCAAATCACGTGTCAATGAATGAAATAAAACGACGTTTAATGAATGAAATAAAATTTTGACAAAAGTATGAACTTGCATAAATGTCTGCAGTTTATTTGTACATAATAAATATTGCGATTTATTTGATTTTGATTTTTATAAAAACATTTATATGCTATCTACACATGTATCTTTGGAGGTTTTAAATTGTTCATAAGCATTGTTAAAAGTTTCTAATGTGTGGTCGCAGATTTTATCTAGATCTTTCAATCCTTTTCTCAATATGTCTATAGCTTTTCCTGTCTTCGCTTGAATCCTCACATATATATTTCCCTCTGCTGGATGATTGACGAAACAAGCACAGAATTCTACGTCGGGGCTGTAAAAAAAACATCATCAATAATCAGTACAAGTAACTTAGTATTATTGAATTACTATTTTAATTAATACTGCATACTTTTGTGTGATCACTGCCACCAAGGAGTTTCCCAAAGTGTAACCTTCGTCCATAAATACAAAAGTTTTACACTTTTCGGAGGATTGTTCACTAGCTACCTGTACAAAAAATAAAGTTTTAATTATAATAATAATAATTATCACACTTTGCATTGAAAATGTGTGTTTTATTTTCAAATTGATAAATATCGTACCTCTGCTAATCGGCCCATTTCGTTATTTGTATCAAATTTTGTCTATTAATAACACAAATGTAAATTTTATTATTATAAAATTAAATCAAACATAATATAATAATCGTTATTATATTATATTATATCAATATAACATTAAAACCATAATATTGTCGGAACAAACACTCCGCTCAAACACTCGTGCCTACGTTTAACATAACCTAGCTTACTGTAACGTTAGGTGCACTATACTATGACACAAACTATTGTGTATCATATAACCTCACTTTCATGTACGAATTGTGAGGTAAATTTAACGACTTCAATCGGAAATATAATAATTATAATTTTTATTAATTGCAGAGAAGAATAGCTCGACGATTTAAATAAATTGAAGATACGTTTCTCATGGTCTGACTCATAGTAACTACGGATAACTTTGTGTTGTATAAAATATAATAAAACGACGCGAAAGTAAATAGAGGGGTAGCAGAAGATGTCTATAAAATATCGAATCTTTACTGTATCATTGAAATTAAAATTTCAAAATATCAGTGCGAGATGTTACTCTTCAAAGAAAAACACGATTATCGAATCCGCAGAGGAGGAACCTATTTTTATACATGAAAGAAATACCGTTGAGTTAGAAAAAAAGAGAAATAAGTCGAGGCTAACGAAAGCTCATAGAAATATATTATTGGGACAAAAACCGTATGACGAATCACAAGAGTGGTATCACGATACTGTCAGGTACAAGACACGAATATTAGGGAGGTACGGAATGGAAGCTTTAGGAGTCCCTGCAGGATTGGTTTGGCCTACTCCTGAAGAAGTAGAGGACATGAAGGAATATGAAAGTCTTGCACATCCATTAAACATTCAAGAAAGATTGCGAGAGATTAAAGAAAAGAAGAAAATGAAAGAAGAGGCGATATTAGCTAGGTATATTTAATAATGTATGTAAGTGTATTATAAAGAATATTTAAATATATATTTGTTTATAATATGTAGGCAAGCTGAAATAGACAAGAAAATGGCAACTATGCAAGAATTGATAAATAAAGTACATGCAAAAATAGCCAAAAAACAGGAAGCAGAATTAGAAGCTAAGAAGAAAAAGGAACATAGAATTGAGGAGATCAGGCGTCAACTGATAGCCGAAGGAACCATGTCTAAAGACAAACTAGCAGAGGCAATGAGTAAGGTGGAGAAAGATGAAAAGAAATTGAAGAAGACTCTTAAGAAAGCGAAGATGTTGGAGAAACAACATGAATACGCGGAGAAATTGCTTAAAGAAGAAGCTCAGAGTAACAAAGAGGAGGGAGACGATGCAGCAGACACTGAAAAAAGATAATCAAATATTTACAAAACAGACAGCTTTGATGAAAACATATTATATTGTAAAATAATTTCTACATAGTAAAATGAACGCTTTATAAACATCCATTGTTAATTAAATACCTACTTCTCAGTATATAAAACTTCCAAAGTAATCGGTGTTTAAAAGAATAATAATA